CTGGGAGTTGAAGTCCACAAGTCTTAAAGTTGCCAAGGTTGGACACCCCTGGTCTAGACCATGGTCCCTAAACCTTAAAGCCTAACACTGCCCAATAAGTCTTGATTATTTTTGGGTCTTCTTTCAAATACCATCATTCCCCAAAATACGACCTACCCTGAAAACAAGCCCTAGCCCGATTTTTAGGCCTGTGCCTAATATAAGCCCTACACTTCAAATAAGCCCTAGTTAGACTCCACCCACTATCTGGTTATATGATGTGGAGCAAGGCGCACGAATAAAAAAACAAGCTAAGGTGGGGTGAGGTTGATGGCCTCCATGCACTCCACACCCACTTATATTAGGTCCCAGTCTTATTTTGTTTTGGGTCCCAAAATAAGTACCAGGTCTTATTTTCAGGGGATGTCTTGCCCGCTTACTTTAGGAACACCGCAGCTACTCCTCTCATGCCCTGACACCTTTTGTGGCTGCTTGCGGCCACTTGCAGCCAGACACCACATGGTACATCACACTGGTGCCATCGTTCACAGCTCAGTGGTGCCGCTGCAATACACCACGAGGCTTGTCATACCAATGCAGAAGAAGTCAGCCAGTGGCATGACAGGTGTCGGAGTGTGGGAGGCATGGCTGCATTGTTCCTAACGTAAGCGGGTAAGACATCCCCTGAAAATAAGACCTGGTGCTTATTTGGGGACCCAAAACAAAATAAGACTGGGTCTTATTTTGGGGGAAACACCGGTGTATAATTTTCCAATTCTCCAACCCTCGAAAGGGCACATTTTCAGTCCTTCCAGTGAAGATGAGTGCATGCAATACGGTCACCAAGGAGAAAAGCAAGATAGAGAGCAACCATTGCAAATCTGCCATAACTTTGATATCGGAAAGCCCAAGTTGGATGGATTTTTGTCAAGTATTAATAACACTGAATTAAATTCAAGACCATTTTAAGACACACTGTCTTCTGCTTGTCAGTTTTCCCAGTGATTTGACATTCATCACGCGAACTAGAAAACATTGTGAGGACAGGTTTATTTCTTAGCAAAAAGATTGGTAGACTACAGTTTATTAGAGATGTGTGAATCAACATAACATTGTGTCTTTTTACTATGTACATTAATAAGGCAATATTCCAATCTAGTAAATTTTTCTGGGATTAAAAATATATATATTTTAATTATTTACAGTTCTAAAGTTCAAAGGCTTTGATGTGTCTTCCATTAAGTTGTTTTTAATATAATTTGCTGAAGAAAATTTCTCAGAGGTGGAAAATCATCCGGCTTTTCTTCTTTAACATGAAGATTTCTTCCATGTAGTTTTGTTATTATTATTCAAATTCCTCTAATGTAAGTTCCCTCTTGCTAATTTTGAGTAGCATAATTCTTTTCAAAAGTACAGGTAATCCTTGATTCACAACCACAACTGAGCCCAAAATTTATGTTGTTAAGTGAGATATTTGTTAAGTGAATTTTGTCCCATTTTATGATCTTCATTAGTCATTAAGTGAATCCTTGCAGTTGATAATTTAGTAACCAGTTGTTAAGTGAATCTGGCTTCCCCATTGACTTCCTTGTTAAAAGGTCACAAAGGGGGATTACACGACCTTGGGACACAGCAACGGTCATAAATATGAAACAGTTGCCAAGTGTCTGAATTTTGATCACACAATCATGGGGATGCTGCAAAGCTTGTAACTGAAAAACATTCTTAGGTCACTTTTTCCAGTGCTGTTGTATGTAGAGATGCTAAACTTATGCCATGTTTGACTCCTCCCCTCCTCTGGCAGTAGTCCTCCTACAAGTTCAGTAGGGGTGGAATAGCTTAAGTGATCTTTTATTCTATTGTTTGGGGTTCGCAGTCAGGGATGGTGAGTGGTCTGGGTAACAAGGGTGACATGGGTGTTCTAGCTTCTCATATAGCCCTTGTCACCCAGACCACTCACCATACTGGACCATCCCTAATCTATCTGTAGCCATCCCTGTCCATCGCTGTGTGAACCCCAAGCAATAGAATAAAAGACCACTTAAGTTCCACCTATACCAGGGCAGGGGTGGGCTGCTAGGGGTTCGCAGGGGGTCGGGAGAGCCCCTAGCTAAGATTCTGTGTTCTGTGAAGTTCGAAGAACCCCCAAATCCCTTTCCTGGCTGGCCTCGCCCACCCTGCCCCACCCTTCCCAGGAGTCCCCATGCAGCCTGTTTTGGATGCAGGTAAGTGTAAGGTACACGCAGAGGCTTGGGGAGGGCGAAAAATGGGCCTCCCAGAAGTTTGGGAAGGCCAGAAATGGGCCTGTTTCTGGCTTCCAGAGAGCCCCCAGAGCCCAGGGAGGTTGTTTTCGCCCTTCCAGAGGCTAGAGGAAAACCTCCGGAGCCCGGGGACAGTAAAAACGCCCCCCTCTGCCATTGAGCAAAAGGCTGACTAGGCCATGCTCACCATGGCCATGCTCACCCAGCAACCAAGCACACCACCCGTTGCTAAAAATTTTGAATCCCACCCCTGTACCAGGGGTGTCAAGCTGGCGTCCCGCAGGCTGGATGCATCCTGCCCAGGTCACGCCCACCCCAGCTCCGCCAAGGGGGAAAAACGTTGCAAAATGTCACATGACCCCAAAGTGATGCCACATGTTTGAC